TATCATTATTATTATTCATTATAATCGAAGAAATGCTCGTAAATGCTGGAAATATTTAGGAACAAGGGTCGGAAGTCGGAACGGACGTCATGCTGGACTCAATTCAAAGTCCGAATATAATTTTTCTCTATTCGGACTCGAGTCCGAATAGTCACTTCTCGTTACGTTCGTAGACTAGATCTATAAATATAAAAACGTGAACATGAGACGGGTGCATGAGTAAAAAAAAGCCCTAAGTTCTAAGTAATATAATAGGTAAATTTTTACTTTTACACCCACACACAGAATACAGATGCACCCATATGAAGGCTCAACTGCCATAATTTTTGCTGCAGAACACACATGTGGCCACTAAAACCCTTGCAAATCAACTGTCTTCATGTAACTTATATATCAATCCTAATTGCCAAAACATCAAATCATTGTGAAATTCAGACCCCCCTGAAACCCCCCAGTTTCTTTTTAGGTCAGGGGGGCATGCCTGAAACACCTCATGTTGTTAAAAATAAGTCAAATATTACTACGCCACTGGTTCTAGTTCTGTTTTCAAACGTTAATGACTCAGTAACTATTGATTTGCGGCAAAAATGAAGGCCATATATTCGTGTTCAGCATTCAAAATACTAACTAGAAAAAAGTATCAAACGTGTACATGAGACGGGTGTATTAGTAAAAAAAATACCATAATATAACGACCTCTTTAAAAACAGAAGAGAAAGAAACTATCTCTCTCTCTCTCTCCTCTCGCCCTCTCACTCTTAATTCTAAAAGTCGTTGCAACGACAACAGGTAATAATTGTACAATTTGTAGACAATTCAGACAGACAATTCAGACACTGACAGGCTCCTGTTGTTTGCTCTTACTGGCTCTGCCAGTCTAGCCGTACGTAGATCTAAGTTTGGCCCTATCTACTCAAACCTGTTAAGTACACAACAGTCAACAGGTCTCATTAGATCTAGATCTAGTAATTATTCAGGTTCAAATACATGCAAGTCAGTAAGGCACCTTTTGGTTTTGTCTGAAATACAAATACTTTAGGCATTTCAAACTAAAAATTTAATTTACAATTCAGCCATCAATATCAAGTACGGCTAGCCTGACAGTCTAGCCGTCCTTTTAAAGTACAGCTAGCTTGGCTGTCTACCCGTACTTAAGTACGGCTAGACTGCCAGTCGGCACTACTTGGATGGTGGTCCCGACTTTTGTGACAGGGAAATATAACCTAGAATAGAGAAAATCTAGAACGATTACTTCTGGTTCTAAGTCTAAACGATTACTTTTTGATTCGCGTGCCGGAGAGATAGATCTAGCCTCTCAAACCTAATTGCAAAAAAATATAAAATCATGGTCAAATTCAGAGGGGTATGCCCCCCTGAAACACCCCATGTTTTGTTTTTTTTAAGTCAGGGGGGCAACCCCCCTTGCTTTGTGAAAAACATGTGAAATTTTACTGCTCATTTTTTAGGCTAGATTTAGAATCTAGGCTACTGATAAAACATAAAACATTGATACTGACTATTTGAATCAGTATCGAATCAGTTGCCTACACTACACTAAAGTCAGGACCACCATATATCCAAAGTGCCCTGCCAGTCTAGCCGTACTTATCTTAGGCCCTCCTATATTAACATTAGTTGTTGTTGTTGTTATCGATCCAGCAACAGCTGGGCTCTCGCCCTTCTATCCAATGCCATGTAGATCTAGTGATAAGTGCAGGTTTGCTGCAGTTGCTGTAAAGTTCCACAGAGTGTGTTGTCAATGTTAGGTCTTGGAGGGAGAAGGGTAGCTCTGATGTCATATATTAACATTAGAAAACAGGAGGTTTATAATACATACATGCACTGTCATTTTAAGGAACCTGGTTTTGTCTCTAATACAAATACAATTTAAGGTACTGCAAACTAAAAACTTATATTTACAATTTAGATCTAGATTTAGATCTAGATCTAGATTAGTAGGCCTATTTTTTTATGGTCAGTCTAGCCATCATAAAGTACGCAGTGGCGGTGGGTGGACCAAAATTTGGGTGGGGCTTAGGTTGCTTCCAGTTCTTTACCACCAAATAGCAAGCAATAAGAATTAAACAGTGATGATTTTTTTCTATACCCACGGTAAGCCACGGCAGTTTGAGAACCATTCAAACGAGAAGAGTTGCCTTTGTTTTCCATCTCTTTGTTCTTAGTAGACTTAGTTTTAAAATTCTTATTGATGGTGAAGACGAAGCCGATTCACCTCCAAATTTCCTATAAATTAGTTTTCGTGTGATGAAAGAGTTGCCTTACAAGTAGATCTAGTTCGACCTGATTTATAAATAACTGTTAAATCTCAGCGGGCCAAACACAAACATGCTCACACAGCACTTCAAACATAATACTTCTATGAATGAGCTGGATTAGGCTGTGTAGTCGAAAAAGTTGAACGCACCCAACAAAGAACCAATGAGCGCATAGAGGTATCTGTGTCAGTGAGGGAAAGTGTGTCGTAAACTTTCACCCCATTGTCACGGCTAGGAGAGCGTGAGCCCTCGGTACAGTGTTATTTTTTCCCAGTCTTCTACCTTTTTACAAGGTGAGTTTCATTAAGGACGGGCTGTGACTGTGGGAAAAGGGCTCATCTTTGCTGAGCCCTAAAGACATTTGATTGGCTGCTGGGTTACTATAGTTGTAAGCGGTGACAACAGTGATTGGATAAGAGTGAGC